ACTTGAGTAGATGTTTATAATCTGCGGTATTAATTTCACTCAGGCATGAGTTCTGACTCGGGAGTAAGTATATTAAGCACATAAACAGGTGATTCAAATTTGAGGTATTAGAAATATTTAGGTATGGGTACTAAATTTGCAACATTCAAACAACTGTGCAGGTGCATGGAACATGAAGAATTCGAAGTACTTGGATATGCACTTCAAGGGTAAGATACTCGAGAGTCACATATAGTAACTGTGGTTTCGGATTTGGGGTACGGTATTCCAACTCTTATGTATATGAAAGATGGGTACACTGTATGTGTTCCCGTGCAAATTATGTTATGGTTATGATAAAAGTTAATTAGCAGAATTCGGTTTCATGTTTTTTTCTCGTCTTCCAAAATGCATTAATTATATATATGGAATCCTAACATCTGGAAGAGAAATGATTAGCTTAATGTCCTTTTCCTTTGTTAAAGCCATAATACACATCTCTTATGCTGACAACTCGGATTGCCAATAATTTCCTCTGTAACTTGCTAGTACCTTAAGCTGTTTTTATTATAAGTTGTAAACAGATACCTTGGTATACCTTGGAAGTATCATTCAATATTTGAATGATACTTCTGGAAGTCAAGCAACAAATAACGGTTTATATCTTCCGAAACCTTAACAACCCCTATGAAAGTCGAACAACAGATAGCGGTCTATATCGACCAACATCTCGACAACGCTTGTAAAAACCGAGCAACAGTTCACGAGCGCCCGCCTTCCGCAGCCCCCGACGCGCCCACCATTGAAGGCCTCGACACCTCGACACTCAAGTTCGACGTCGGGGATGCTGTGAACCTCACGTGCGTCAGCGGAGGGGGTCTATCGCCTCTGGTCCTGACGTGGTACAAGAACGGCGTCGAGATGGTCAGTGCCGAGATCAGGTCGGGGCTGCAGCTGAGTCTCGTGCTGCAGGAGGAGGACGACGGGGCTGAGCTGCTGTGCCAGGCGGCGAACTACATCGCTGCGGTGAATACTTCTGTGGTCGCTCATATAAAGGAAGGTGCGTTGCTTGGTGCTGAGTGCCTCTTTTTTTGCTTCTTTTTCTGTTGAAATGATTGATGGTGTTAATTTAAAGTAATTTATGAATTTGGTTGAATATGAAATACATGTATGACATTTATTTAGGATATATAGAAATTTCGCGATTATTTTTTGTAAGAATTATATTTCCACACGGTATTAGGATACACATGGAATGAAAATATCATGTTATTGGCAATCTGCTACTTCGGAGCTGAGGTTATAGCTTTCTGGTGTTCTATGTGTTTTGAATATCCTAACTTTATTTCTGTCGTAAATTTTCATTTTTGGAAGCCCCTCGCCAACCATTGTTGGGATAACCATCACGTTTCCAACTGACGTGAATGCCAGAACTGTTCAATCCCTCAGCCCAAACAAGGGCGGGGGAGACTTTGCTCTCCCTGGACCCATTCCCTAAGAGGCACTCTGCCCTAACTCTGCATCTAACCCAAACCAACCTAACCTACCCTGACTTCACTCAACGCAACCTAGCTATCTAATTCCCTAACCAAAGGGGCTTCCACCTCGTACGTCTTTCCATACTTCGATTACTTAAGTGTAGAAGTAAGATTCTATTTCCCAGTACCCTTGTAGAGACTGAAGTTTAACCTTTGAACTTTTGGGACTCGTCGGGTGGCCCATAGCCTAAGCTTGACACTTTACAACAAATAATTAAATACATTCGGTTACGGTTGGTTACATGTAGCAATCTGCGACGTGTCACACACACACACACACACACACACACACACACACACACACACATATATATATATATATATATATATATATATATATACATATACATATATATATATCTGTATATATATATATATATATATATATATATATATATATATATATATATATATATACATATATATATATGTATACATATATATATATATATATATATATATATATATATATATATATATATATATATATATGTGTGTGTGTGTGTGTGTGTGTGTGTGTGTGTGTATGTGTATGTATACATATATATATATGTATATATATGGATAAATAACAAGACATATAGATAGATATGTAGATATAGATATAGACACACAAACACTCAGAAAGACAAAGAGGCCAATAGGAGCAGAGACAAGCCCTAACGAGAGAACCAATGACCCGCAGGCGTGTGCAAGGTCCCCGAGGAGTGGGCGGGCGAGTGGTACTCCGGCTGGGACCAGGTGGGCGTGGCGTCTGACCTGTGGCTCGACCAGATCTGCCTGACGTCTTCCAAAAACCGATTCCTTGTCAAGAAAGAGTGGGTAGAGGGTGTGGCCTCCGTGCTGTTGTTGTTGTTTTTTTCTTGTTTTGTTTACTTTGTTTTTTTTCTTGATCGTTATTATCTTTTCTTCTTGTTCTTGTTCTTCTGTTGCTTCTTTTTTTTTCTTCGTCTCTATTTTCTTTTATTATTTTTTTCTTCTTCTTCATCGTATTATTCTTGATCGTTATTATTATCGTTATTCAAGTTTCTTCTTATTGTTATTATCATTATCATTATTATAATTATTATTATTGTTATTATTATCATTATTATCATTATTATTATTGTTATCATTATTATTATCATTATTATTATTATTATTATTATTATTATTATTATTATTATCACTATCATTATCATTATTAACATTACTATTATATATCATCATTATCATTATTAACATTACTATTATATATCATCATTATAATAATAATAATAATAATAATTATTATTATTACCATTATCCTTATTAACATTATTATCATTATTATTACTACTACTACTACTACTACTACTACTACTACTACTACTACTACTACTACTACTACTACTACTACTATTACTACTACTACTACTACTACTACTACTACTACTGGTACTACTACTATTATTGATATCATTATTATTGCTATGATGACGATGTTGATGATTATTGTTAGCAGTCATTACTGTTATTGATATAATTGCTATCAACCGTAGATTATATACTGAACTATATCAAAACTCCTGCCTCCTTCAGATGGAGAGACTGCAACACATGCTATGTAGTCACGGAGAAACACCCCAACATCCTTGAATATAAAGAATGTAAGTAGCTCTTGTGTTAACAGTTTGAGAGGAAAATATTTTAATGATTGTGTGATAAGAGAGATAGATACTCAGCTATCTGGTTTGATGCAGGAAACGTTATTGAAAATGTTTCGTTGCTTTTAGTCTTATTCCTGTTGTTGTTCTTTTATGAAATATTTTTTTTTGAAAATTATTATTAAGATATGTTTTTCCCTTTTACCCCTCCTCCTCTCCCCCCCCCCTCTCCCCCCAGCCCAATGCGAGGCGACGGACGACCTCCAAGCGCTGTGCTCGACCATCGACCCCGCGCAGCCGCCCACCCACGTCATGCGCATGGACAGCACGACCGAGTGTCCGTTCCTTGGGCTGCGTCCGTTCACGTACCGACTGCGCCACCGAAGCTGCACCGAAGAACCGTCCCGACTTACCTCCGAGAACAACGGAACCGAACTCGTTTTCCACTACGACACCTGCGCTGATGATACCGACTTACATATCGACGTTCGGTGTAAGTCGGGGGGTTTGAAGCGTCGTTGTTAACAGCCTTGTGTTTATTGTTGTTATTACTATCATAATTATCTTTATTGCCTGCAACAACTGTGTCGCCAGTTTGTAGCCTACACCAATTTAGTCATCTTTTGATACACCATTCCAATAATTAATTTATTGACCTGCATCAATTCAGATCATCAAATCATGATGCCAATACTATTATCTATTGGTAGCCTGCATTAAGTCGTCAGTCACCAACATCCCTTCAGTCACCCATTATCAACCTACATCAGTTCCCCCCCTCCCCCCCGAGCAGCAGAGAGAATCGAGTGCGTGGGTTCGTGGCGCGAGGGCAACGCCAGCTTCCTCATGGGGAAACTGGAGTCGGTCCTCGGCGGGGAACCTCGCTACCGCTGCTTCACCTTCGCCGAGGAGGAGGGCGAGGCGGCGGAGGGCGAGGCGGAGGAGGGCGAGGGCCACCGCTACGTCGTCAGCAGGACCTCGTCGGAGGCGTGCGCCGCCCTCGGGGAGAGGACCGACAGCTTCTACAAGATATTCGGGGAGGCGGTCGGTGAGTCTCGTTTGTTTGTTTGTTTGTTGATCCTTTTGTTTGATTTGTTTTTCGTTTGCTATTTTTTGGTTGATTTGTTTGTTTATTTTAACTGTTGATTTTTAGTTTGCTGATTTATTTTGATTTTATTTTCCTATGTGCTATAGTTAGTAAAATCGTTCTTAGTTGTTGGTTCGTAAGTTCGGCTGTGTGCGTCAAAAGAGGTTTTGGCTCTGTGACTTTTAATGATTAATTCAATTTATCTATTGTTCTGTGTCATAATTTTTTGCCTTAAAATAATGATTATATCTGAAATATGTTGCAAAGACCATATTCCCACCCTTCTCTTATTGCCATCTTCCTACAACTAACCATGCATTGCAACGCCTCGCTCCCTCCCTCCGCCCACCTCAGCGCCCGGGGAACCGACCATCCTCGGCTACGACGCGTCCCAGCAGGTGAAGGTCGGCGCGGCCCTCAACCTGACGTGCAGCAGCGGCGGTGGCTTTCCCCGCGCCAAGCTCACGTGGTTCAAGGACGGAGAGGTAATCCCTTCGGAGACGTTCCAAGAGGGTGGGAATTCTGTGGCCGTTATCGAGGTCACTGTCGAGGGGTCGGATAACGAGACGGAGTACGTCTGTCGAGCCTACAACTTCGTGGCGGATTTCAGCGCGAGCGTCGTGCTGCGCGTGGAGCAAGGTGAGAGCCGGTTGCGGGGCAGAAGAGCGAACGGAGGTAGTGACTGTAACAAAATGTTCAAAAAGCCTCTTCATACGGTGCTTTAATAGGGTTCAGTTCGGAGGGAATGTAACGGAAAGTGTAACAAATATT